AAACGCTGGGGGGTGGGGGGCACATAAAATGATATGGCGGGCCAGATGTGGCCCGCGGGCCTTGAGTTTGACACATGTGACGTAGATCATCGTCAGGGTCGCAACTATATATTATTCAGGTGGATGTGAAAACCACCAGAATACTGCACTCCCCCGAAGGAAGATACGTGAGGGTGAAGGAGCATAGAAAACATACCCTTGCTCGAGTTGTCCCCACTGTCTGTGAAAGCAAATTGCTGCTGAGTTAGCTGTGGCCATCGGATTTCTTATTTATGCAGCGCTGTTCTATTACTGACGATTAGACAGACATCTTCTGCTGCTCAGAGAAAACCACTGCGCATGTCCTGGAGTGCCGAGTGCGAGTGAAGAGTGGGGAGCGGAGGGAGAGTAACAGATACACGTCATTGGTTGGATTTTAATCGGTGCGTTTTGCGTCCACTGAAAACAAAGATGTTAACAAATAAACTGGACACTATGCTGTACGTTTAGTGATATTTTCACAGTTGCAGTCTTGAAATAAAATCCCGAGTCCTCAGCGCCCGAACCCGAAACCAAGACGGATCTCAAGTGTTACAACACTAGAGATCCGACTTCTTTTCATAGTCTGAGACTCCCAGAATGGAGTTTTAATAAAGTTGTTCCAGGGGAAACAAATTACCTGAATAGAGACTTATATCACACTGTTAATGGAAATATTTACTTTCTAAATTAAACCTACAGACGTCTTTTATGAAAACAATTTATAAATGTGTGACATTACACAAATTGAGAATGGGAGTGTTTGGCTGAGCTCTGGTGTGTTTTGTCTTGTTTGACAGAGTTATCTGAAAAAGTTTGGTTACATAGAGACGGAGCAGCACGGTGACTTCCGGTCCAAGGTGTCCATAGCAAAGTCTCTGAAGATGATGCAGAGACAGATGGGTCTGAAGGAGACTGGAGAACTGGACAAGCTGACACTGGAGGCCATGAAGCGACCTCGCTGTGGTGTTCCTGATGTGGCCAATTACAAATTATATGCCGGGGAACCCAAATGGGACCATAACGATATTACATACAGGTGAGTGGAAGAAGAAATACTATGTGTCATTACATTAATGATTACAGAGTGAGATATTTTTTTCTGCCAAATATGTTCTAGTTATATAAAAACATTTACTTGTTAATAAATTGGTTTTTAAGGCAGGGTTTCAGATTTTTTTATTTTTTAAAATAGCACTTTATATATAAAAAAGCAAAACAAATCATAGATGTTCAGATGGCATTGGTTAATGCTATGGCATGCAAAGGGAAGTTTAATGATAACTTAAAATGCTTGAAAACATGTAAATTAAGAGAAAAATTAAAATTGACATACCCTGTGCATCGTGCGATTTCTCCAGATATGGTTTTGCTTTGGTAGGTTACAACTTTAATAATAACCATTTCACAGCCCAAAATCAGAAGCAAATTATATCATGACATGTTGTGCTACACACACAACTATAGTTTCAGAAGACTCTCTCTTGTAACTTCTGGTGGAAAATTATTATAAGTTAAAATCTGTTATATAAAATGCTTGTGAACTCTCACCAAAATAACTATTTGGGTTACATGTACAAGGTTGGAAGTTGTTTCCCACAGCTGCATTAGAACCAGACTGTTTCACCCATTTGTTTTGAATTCCTTATCTTTGATATAAAACTCATGTGTTGACTCTTCCTGGCAGAGCTTTCCATCCAGAACTGCTTCATTATTGATTGTCCCACAAACTCTCATATATTGTGCACAATATATGAATAAACCTGATTGAGTGATTTCACCTGAACAGTGTTAGGTAATAATTTTTTTCCACAACAATTTGGTGCTGTGACCCGGATCCCTTGACTGGACATACAAGGACGTTGACAAACAGCGTTTTGGTGCCGACCTGGAATAAAAGTATTGATTAGTTTCCATCAGACTGGATCAGCTAGTCATTTTGAGTTCACTGTGTCTTCAGGATCCTGAACTATTCTCTTCATATAGACAGTATTCTGACTGATAAAGTCATTGCAAGAGCCTTCAGGGTGTGGAGTGATGTCACTCCTCTGACATTTACCAGCCTTCTTCAAGGCGATGCAGACATCATGATCTCCTTTGAAACAGGTGGTATGTGCTCTTTTTTACATTTCTAAGTCAAACGTTTGCACTCTAACCAATTAAGAAGCTGAATTATAAAAATCAAACATTGATGAGCTGCTTCATGTTCTCTTTAGATCACGGGGATCCATACCCCTTTGATGGTAAGGATGGCCGTCTAGCTCACGCCTTTTCTCCTGGTGTGGGCATTCAGGGGGACGCCCACTTTGACAATGATGAATACTGGACTCTGGGAAAAGGACAAGGTAACTACACCTCAGAAATCACGTGCTTCTACCTCCCTCCTTCCTCTGGTGTTGTTGCACATATTTCCTTTAACACACAATCCAATCTATCTTCTCAGTGGTGAAGACTTACTTTGGCAGTGATGCAAACGCCATATGTCACTTCCCCTTCACTTACTTGGGGAAATTATACACCACCTGCATCACTGAAGGCCGTTCCGACAACCTGCCCTGGTGTGCAACCACAGCCGACTACGACAAAGACAAGAAATACGGCGTTTGCCAAAGTGAACGTAAGCGTGACAAAAATGACGAGCCTGAAGCTATCCATTATGTTTATGAGCTTGTGAAGGAAAACTGGAACTCATCCAACTACACTTTCAACTGTAATCCTCATAGTCTTGTTCACATTTGACGGAAATGCGGATGGAGCCCCCTGTGTCTTCCCCTTCATCTTCCTGGGTAGGATGTATAAGAGCTGCACCACCGACACCCGCATTGACGGAAAACGCTGGTGTGCCACCACTAGCAACTTTGACACAGACAAGAAATATGGCATCTGTCCCAAACGTGGTGGGTAACAGGAAACACAAGGCGTGAAAGTCTTGCCATAGAGGCTTGTTGCTTTGTTTAACCACAGTTATTTTGTCTCTTTTTGTCCAGACACTGCTGTAACTGGAGGAACCTCGGAGGGAGATGCTTGCCACTTTCCTTTTGTGTACCAGGGCAAGGAATACCACTCATGTACTAGTGAGGGGAGGACAGACGGCAAATTGTGGTGTGCCACGACTGACAGCCATGATAGAGACCAGAAATGGGGCTTCTGTCCCAAACGTGGTGGGTAATAGGAAAAACAAGGCATGAAAGTACTACCACAGTGGTTTGTCGCTTTGTTTAACCACAGTTATTTTGTCTGTTTGTCCAGACTCTACCGTAATTGGAGGAAACTCAGTGGGAGATCCCTGCCACTTTCCTTTTGTATATAAGGGCATGGCATACTTCCAATGTACGACTGCCGGGAGGACAGACTTCAAATTGTGGTGTGCCACCACTGTCAACTATGATAAAGACCAGAAATGGGGTTTCTGTCCTGACCTGGGTGAGCAACATGAATGGAAGAATTTGTTCTGCGTTTATCATTTTATGAGATTTATGAGATTTCTTACCGGCTATCTTCCAGGTATTAGCCTGTTCCTGGTGGCTGCCCACGAGTTTGGACACTCCCTAGGTTTGGATCACTCCACCGTTAGACAAGCTCTCATGTACCCCTTGTACAGCTATGTGGAGGATTTCTCCCTGGATCAGGATGACATTGATGGCATTCAGTTCCTCTACGGTGAGCGGACCACTCGGTACTCTTTCACAATGAATCTCGTCAAACACATGAAAACTTTGCCTTAACCAAGAATATTCCCATATTTTACAGGAAATAAAACAGGCCCTGATTCTACTCTCAGCACGACAGAAGAACCGGACCCCACTGCTTCATCTGTAGTGACAACGCCATCCACTGTAGATCCCACCAAAGACCCCTGCAAGATCCACAAGTTTGATGCCATCACTGTGATTCAGAGACATCTGCATTTCTTCAAAGATGGGTGAGTAAATATCTAGTTCTACTTATGTTCTAGGAACATAACCTGATGAGGTGCCAATCTTGCATTTCTGATTAACAGGCAATTCTGGAAGGTACCAAGCAAGGGAGACGGAGGTCGAAAGGGACCATTTTCCATTTCTCAGAGTTGGCCAGCTCTACCTGCTGTCATTGACTCTGCCTTTGAGGATGTTCAGACCAAGAATATATACTTCTTTTCAGGTAAGGAGTGTTCTTTCCAGAGCTTATCAGAGCACTGAAATGTTAGACTATGAGTTTTAATCATATTATTATTGTTATATTAGGAAGCAGGTTATGGGTGAACACAGGAAGCAGTGTGCTAGGTCCCTACAGTATTGAGATGCTTGGTTTGCCCCCAAGTGTGCATAAAGTGGAGGGAGCGCTACAGAGAGGGAAGAACAAAGTGTTTCTCTTTAGTGGAGAGGACATCTGGAGGCGAGTAGAAATTGCCCCCTTTTTTAGACAAAATCTGTAATTTAACCCATCCTTAAACACATTTTATGTTAAAGGACCAACAGTAGATCTCATTCTATCGCTGATCCCTACAGGTTAGATCTCAATACCAGAAGGATTGACAAAGGATACCCTATGTATATCAGGGCCATCTTTCCAGGTGTCCCTGATGATCCTTCTGATGTGTTCAAGCACAAAGGTAAACATACCTTCTATCACTAAGCTCAGGAACCAAAATCCAAAACCCAGGTGTGGATCTACTGGGGTGGCGTGGGGTGGCAGTTCCCACCCCAAATGAGAGCCTTGCCACCCTTGTTTCCACCCAAGTTGTCGACTATGAATTCAATAAATGGTTATGGGAAATCGAACATTAAGCGCATAAATCTCTTTTTTCCGACAACATTGAATGCAACACAATGTAACCTGACACCTACTGCTGAGTAGCGAGAAGTGCGAGAGACAGCAGCATTGATATGGATGGATATAAATTACTGGACTGGACATTACCTGACTTATCGTGCGCCACACCTGCGTCATTGCTGTCCATTGAGTCAACATTATGTGTGGTCAGGAAATTACCATAGTCACGCAAAGAATCTGAAAAATGGACGCAATATTTAGCGGTTAATTCAATCCTATGAATTAGATAACAATGGCTTCAGATTTAACAGGTGAGGAAAAAGTTTTAACTTAAAGAAAACATTGAAGAAATGAGCAGTGGGTCAGTTATACTAGCCTAACTGTTGCTAGCCTTCTGTATGCAGCTGCTGCAATTCATAAAAGTTAAACAAGTGACAAAAACTGAACTTTTTGTCACTTGTCAAAAAGTGAAAAGAGAGAGAAGAGAAAAGAGAAAAAGAGAAAAAGAAAGATCATTGAACTAGGCTCCTACAACATATTTAAAATAAAACGATTGACCAGTATAAGAGAAATTTGCCCCTTCTTGGATCTTGACACAGAACTAACAGGAACAAAATTGTTTATAGATTTGTATCACGGAGACTTTGTCAAACACCAGTTTCTCCTATTTATTTTAAGTCGTATTTAATAGATATATCTGATAACAAATGATGGCACTACGAATATTTTTGTGACAGATTTCTGCTCGTCCTGCATTGGGATAAAATTGTTTTCTGGATTCAATGAATCACATAGTGAATAATAGGTGCTGTCCAATCCAGTAATGCATATCAATTAGCAGGAGTATGAAAGATAAAAATAATTAACTATACTATATTAAGAAATTATATTTAATCCTCAGTGCTACATTAAGCTCATTTGGATCTTAAGAAGGTTCTAGAGCTTCACAATGTTAAAGGAAAAAATCAGTGCAAGAGACAAAAACTTTTGAGCAGGGAATTTTCTGAAAACTGCATTTACACTCAAACTTGATTTTTTCAGCTAATCAAAAGTTTAAGACCATAGTCTTTAAAAGCCAAAAGTTGTGCAAAAAATCTGGATTCCATGTCATTTTCTGTCAAGTCTTTACACTGTCAAGACCTCCTGATGGCAAAAGCAAAAAAGCTCACTGACTTTGAACGTGGTAGGATTGTTGAGCTGCATAAGCAAGGCCTCTCACAACGTGCCATCGCTGCTGAGGTTGGATGCAGTAAGACAGTCAATTTCCATTTTTTAAATGATCCTGAGGGTTATAGAACAAAAAAGTCAAGTGGTAGACCCCAAAAAATTTCACCAGCTCAGAGCGGCAGGATCCGATTGGATGTCCGTCAAGACACGGGACGATCCTCTACCCAAATTAAGACCATTACTGGTGCTGACTGCAGCCCAATTACCATCAGACGGCATCTGCGAGAGAAGGGCTTCAGAAACAAAAAACGTCTTCAAAGGCCACGTCTTCTTCAACGCCACAAATTGCCCGTTTGGACTTTGCAAGGGTGCACCAAACATGGGACATTGAAAGGTGGAAGAAAGTTATCTTCTCTGATGAGAAATAAAAATTAACCTTGATGGTCCGGATGGCTTCCAACGTTACTGGCGTGACAAGGAGATCCCACCTGAGATGTTTTCTACATGGCACAGTGGTGGGGGCGCCATCATGATTTGGGTTGCGTTTTCCTTCAGTGGAACAATGGAGCTTCAGGTTGTGCAGGGGCGTCACACAGCAGCTGGCTATGTGGAGATGTTGCAGCGGGCATCCCTCATGACTGAGGGCCCTCGTCTGTGTGGTAATGATTGGGTTTTTCAACAGAACAATGCTGCAGTTCACAATGTCTGCCTGACAAAGGAGTTCTTCCAAGAGAATAACATCACTCTTTTGGACCATCCAGCATGTTCCCCAGATATAAACCCAATTGAGAACATTTGGGGATGGATGGCAAGGGAAGTTTACAAAATTGACATCAGTTCCAGACCGTGGATGCCCTTCATGAAGCCATCTTCAACACTTGGAGCAACGTTCCCACTAGCCTCCTGGAAACACTGGCATCAAGCATGTCTAAACGATTGTTTGAAGTCATCAACAAGAATGGTGGAGCTACTCATTACCAAGTCCTTTTTTTGACACTTTGATTTCTGTTTTGGGGGCCTTTTGGAGGTTTTTGAGCTATGGTCTTAAACTTTTGATCAGCTGAA